AAAATTACTGGACAGGACCCTCTTCGTCCCCATTCCTTTTGAAGGAATACCTGATTTTCCTCCTTACCAGGTGGTGATACCCCAGACAGTCTCTGGATCCCATCCCCCACTCTCTCGTTACATTTCCAGTCTCTCTCTCCTCACTGGTACTTACCCTGCAAATGACACTTTACAAGCAAACAGACAAGAGATGAACACATGCGGACACACACACGCGGAAAGCTTTCCTCGGCATCTCTGTGCGGCAGAGCTGTCATTACCTCTCTTTCTGATCCTCATGAACAAACCCAGTGACGTGGTACTCTCCATGTCCTTAGCATCTCCTCTTTTCCTCATCCTTTCTCAAAATGAGACTGTCTTCATCTCAAATCGCCCCCTGAGAACTCCCCGGAGGCCAGGGACCTAACTCTGCCTGCTCAGCGTCCGCCGGTCTTCGGCCACCTACGGGGTCAACAGCCCACTTCTCTGACGACTCGTTCCTCCTTTAGAGTCCTTTATGCTCTGCTACCTTTGCTCTCCTTCTCGTCCATCTGTCTCCTGATAGTAATAATTTCCCGAGGAGCCGTGCTCGGTTGTCACTGCTCCCCAACACCTGCTACTCCTGCTTCCCCTTCCGTGAGAACAGCGACAGTTCCTACCACCACTTACACCTGCAGCCAGCGTGACATTCCTCTGACTGCCAAACCGGGCATTTTATGTTCCCCCGCCGCCCAACTCCGTGTGTGAAGATGTTTTGTTCTTTTCTCTCTTTTCTACATCCGTATCTTAGTGGCCGAGTTCCGTAACTTAGAACTTTGCAATCGTTTCTTATTCTCTTTTCTTTTCCACTGATGATCGCCGAGAACAAAAATATCACCTCTTATATGGGACTACTAAAATAAATATTGAAATATTTATGAAAGTCAATTGGAAGAAAAAAGAAAAAGAAAATTAAATTTTGATAGGGGCGAAGCGGCATCGGAATGGAGAATCAGTGTCTATGAACTGGCCTGATCTTTGGCCTTCCCTTGCCCACATCGTCACAGTCCTTGTCCAGTAGCCTATGGTGATTTTGTCCAAAGAATAAACCTATGCTCGTTTTTCTAACAAGACTGCCAAATAAATCAAAATGCTAGTTCGATTAGCAATAAGAAACATCACTGCCAAGAGCACAGAACGCTTAAATGTAATAAAGCGAGCAAAGAGGGGAAATCGCGATGTGCTGAAATACAGAGTAAACTCTCAGTGAATGAAAAGAGCAGTCCCATGAAGTCCTGCATGACTCACAGATCAACCAGGACTAGAAGGAATACATTAGCATATAAGAAAAGGAAATAAGAGTAGTAACGAGCCTCGGGAGCTTTATGAGTCAGGTTCCTGGCGAAGTTGCTGTAGAGACTCCAAAACACAAGCCAGATTTTCGTTTTCAATTAACATTCCTCTTACACAAAAGTCCAGAGGTTGGCCAATCATCCTCGATTTGTGGATTTCACCTGTGTCCCGTTTCCACTGGTGAGAAGAGAACTAAGGAAAAGACGGTGGGGGTTGAGTCCGATTCCAGCTCTGAATGAGAAACTCCGTCAATACTGTGTCCTGAGGCACGTTGGTCACTGGAACTGAGCTTTTCATCTCCAACTCTTGATTCCTTTGCCTATCTCATTTGTTTCAGAAGTCACACAGCACTTTATTTAAAAGTATATTTTTGTCTATAGCCATGCTACCCTGAACAAGCCCGATCCTGTCTGCTCTCGGAAGCTAAGCAGGGTCGGGCCTGGTTAGTACTTGGATGGGAGACCCCCTAAGATGACCAGGTGAGGTAGGCGTAGAAAATAAAAGATAAGGGATCGTAAGCTGACGAGGTCCTTGCAATCTGTAAGGTCAACCAAGAATTGCCTCGCCTAAAAAAATAAAAATAAATAAAAAATATATACACACACACACACATATATATGTGTATATATATTCATATATTTAATATACATGTATATAAATACATATAACATATATATTAAATTAGGCCATTTAAGGCTTTGTATTATATTTATTTGTCTGCTCATTGGATCCTAAAGTCTTAGCTTCTTTTTTCACTTTGTATCAACTAATAGAATATACAATAGCTTGTGAATCTCAACTATTTTTATTCAAAATCACCCTTTATTATAGAAGAAAGTTTTAATAATATTATGTTCTGTCCTTTTTAAATGGAGAAATCTGAGTACCGTTGTAAGCTTGGTTTTTAATTAAAGGTTTGATAATCTTTGTATAAAGCATTTTATAGTATTCAACATTTTCCCCATTATACTACTAAATTTAACTCACTAGTTTGTTCTGTTATTATTAAAACAATATAGTCGAGCTTTCTAATTTCTGCCGATGCTCTAGGGCAAAATTTCAAACATATTCTGTTAATAAGTGAATCTTGACTATATCTTCGATTAATGCATAATACAGAAGACATGATGCAAATTAGTCAAATAATATTGTTAATAAAATACATTCAGTCTATTTATTTAAGTGCTTTTTCCTGTTTGGATAATTATTTATACTAGAGATGGTATATATCTGATAAGGTACTTGTATCTAGAATATATAAAAACCCTTACTACTCAATATTCAAAGACAAATAACCCAATTAAAAAATGGGCAAAAGATCTGAATAGGTTTTTTTCCCAGAGAAAATATTCAAATGGCCAATAACACATGAAATAATGCTCAATGTTATTAGCCATCAGTAAAATGAAAGTCAAAATCACAGTGAGACACCACTTTGCGTCCACTAGGATGATTATAACCAAAAAGCTGGATGGATAATAAGTGTTACTGAGGATGAGAAGAAATTGGAGCCCTAATACATTGCAAAATATTACTGTTTCTTTGGAAAAGGTTCTGGCAGTTCCTTAGGTCCCAGAAATACCACTCCTAGCTATATACCCCAAAGAAATGAAAGCATATATCTGCACAAAAATCTTAACAAACATTAAGAGCAGTCTCATTCACAATGCTGGAAACAACCCAAATGTCCATTATCTGTTGAATGGAAAAACAGAATATGATTTATTCATATAAAAGAATAGCATTCAATCATAAAAAGGAATAAAGTACTGATGCATATTACGAAGTGGATGAAACTTAAAAATATTAAGCCAAGGAAAAGAAGCAAAAAAAACCCCACACACTGTATGATTTAATTTATATGCAATATCCAAATTAGGAAAATCTATAGATAGTAGCTTAGCTGTCTGACTGGCGGAAAGAGTCGGGGAGAAATGCGGGCGACTGCTGAAAGGTAGAGGGGTTCTTTATGGGATGACGAAAATATCCAAGAGTTAGACAGTCAGGATGGCTGCCCAGGTCTACAAACAGACTGAAAAACAGTGAGTCGTACATTGTATGATACGTGAATTATAGCTCAATAATGCTGCTCTGAAGAAAGCCTTTCTGGTGGACTGTAGCGTTTATTGTGACACTTAGTTGTGAAGTTGTTTTGCGGGTCTGTCTTATTTATGGAAAATCCTTATTGACATAGTAACAATGTCCTCAACGACATTCTCTTTAATAAGGCAAAATTCATTAGAATATATTGGGAAATGTCCTATTTTTAGGGTCGCTAAAATTCTTTTTTAAATGACGTCAAGTACAATTTATTCACCAGGCACTACCATGTAACAATAAATAACACTTACTCGACGTTGAGCGATTTAACCAGTCTTCGAGTCATAGTGTGCATTAGTGTAGCTGGTCCTTGTGCACATTTATTTGCACGACAGTGAAGCCGGCCTAGATATTCAACTCCAGAGGCATATGACTCCGTGACAAAGACGACATGACAAAATAATGAACCCATGTGATGAGCTCTATGAATGTTCAGTTAATGGGTGTCAAAATAGTTTTCAGTATTTTATTTCATCACTATGCTGAGTACTTTCTTCAACAGAAAAAAATGATTTCGTTCACGATCGTATAGAATAAAAATATTTCAATTCAGAACGTTAAGAAAATTGCTCCTGAGAAATTCTTACTGTCTCAATAGAGCAAAGAGAGAATTAGAGGAAAGTGAGTACAATACACTCAAAACTACCACAGGGCATTTACTATTTTTCAATTAGCAACTTACTTCATCTCGTAGTAAATCCCAAGAAAGAATTTTCCTTTCCTTTGATTTATTTGGCATGGCACTTCACTTAAATAACCATCAATTAAATTAACTAAATTTAAATAATTATTACGACAAACACCACAGTGAAATTTACTTAGAAGATCAACATTGTTTCTAGAATACCAAGTAAAGAATATGAAAAGGAATGAAATGCAGTGCGACATTTGTCTCTCTAAATAAGAGCGATGACTCTGTTCCCTGATTATATTTTCCTTGATCATCCAAGTCACAAACGGCCTCTGTATTTTATGAAACTCTATCAAAATAAATGAGAACAAAATATTCTGATGCTATCACTTTCCCCATCTACCTTAAAATGCATATAAAAGGTGATTTCTTTTATAGTACATTAATCTTATTTACTGCTTTATTATCATTCTATAATAATGGAAAACTTAATTTTGAGGTCAACTGTGTACATATAGCTTTAAGTTTAAAAACTTACCTCAGGAATAGAAAAAAAATGGGCTTTGAGGTCTCACACTAGTGACAGTCATCATCCTGGTTTTTAAAATTTTTATTTGCTAAGTATTAATCTCAAATAGAGAAATAACGCCCTAATCCTAGGCCTAATGAATCATACAGACACTTAGGATACTGAATGAAACAAATGACCTCAAGATCAGTTGGAAGAGACAGCAAATCACTGTCACTGTCCACTATGTCTTGGACCCCTTAACAGGTCTGTATCTGTCTATCCATCTATCTCTTTGTCAGATGAAGATAATTCACACAAATACAAGTATAGGTACATATCTAGCTGTATACCTTGGCTTGTATATTTCTAAATCACATAGCTGTACTTATTTTTTATATATATATATATAAGTTAAAATGCATTATCTTAAAGAAAAAATATACTTACTGCCCTCTAGAGGTATGAACCAGTAGTGTAATAAGTGTAGATGTTGCTGGGCATACACAGTTTAAAGCTAACATGGCGTATTTAAACTCTTCTTCACAAACAACATGATCTGTTTGAAATAAAATAGGTAAATTAGAATAATTTACCTTGAGAGAATAAGATTTTAAAGTAAAATGAAAAATAAAACAATGAGTAAAATTACAAAAGAGTCAATATAAACACACTCATTTTATAAATGTTTTTACATGTACAATTTCATCCCCAGAAAAAACTTTTTTTACGAAAAAGTAGTAGACTATGAGTTATGTGATTGACAGGGAAGGGGGTTCTAACCCCAGTTCTGTCTGACAAATTTGACAGACTTTGGCAAAATGTTTGATTTTCCTACGCCTCATCTGTATGAGCAATGTGGTCTAGGCAGGTTTGAGGTGCAGCCCAGAAAATAAATCAAAAACCCTATAAAGTCTCCTTTAGTTCTGATTGTTCTATGGTATGAAATATAACAGCGTTGACTGAAAACAGTATATATCGACTAAAGTCATAGTCCAACAGCATAAAGACTTAGAAAGTAATTATTAAAATAAGTGGTAGGAAATATTTGCATGACATATAAGCAATAGATTTTGTGCAAAACAACCATAATATCAATCAAAATTAATGCTAAAATAAATTTAAATTTCAATTGTACTTTAACTCCAAGACCTAAGGACATAAAGTTAAAAGACGTCAGGGTCCCGTTTGAGTGGCTATTGACATTCAACGATTAACAAACAATAAAGAAGGTCAGAGATGATGGCACGTGGGGGGAGGGGTTGTGCAGGCCGCATTGAAGGTAGATGATGTCCCTCAACCCGAGTATATTACTTTCATGCATGAATGAGGACTCAGGGGCCAGATATTCAATTTTCCATAGATGTCATATTTTAGAGAAGCGATTAAAGTATTGTGTATTTGGGGGGGGGCGGGGAAACCAGCCCTTCTCTTCCCAAGTAAACAACTCTAGCTGGTATTGGAAATAAAGGCAATGTTTAAAGTTCTAAGAAAAGAAATATTCTTAGGCGGAAAATAGCAGTTTTAGCTTAATTAAGAAATTGAATTTGTCAGTGAGCCAGATCTATAAAATGAACACATACACCACACAATTTATTTAAAAAAAAAAAAAAAAGTTACTGGGGAAATGGTTCAGCAAGTGCTCCAGACAGGATAAATATTACGCTCACTCCTGCGTTTATAATATGTTCACATATGAAAGAGCCCGTCATTTTTCATTTTTCTTCTGTTTCCTTATCTGTTTCTTTCACATTATATGGAAGAAATTGTATGCTTTGGTTACATCTCAGATTTATTCTTTAAAAAAAAATCAAGGATCTGGTAATCAATCTCAATCTCTCTCATACTCTCATCAATATATTATAATTATCTTTAAGGAAAATCAAAAAAATACATAGCCATGATACTTAATATTTTTCAGGAAGGCAGGTAGACTCTAAATTCAGTTGCGAAGTGTGGAAAAAGATTTAAAGTATTTGCAGAAGAACGATGACTTTAAACACTATTTTTCAGTGTGTATGCTCGATCCGTGAATATAAAATAACAAAACTGCTAAATGCAGAATGTTTTTACTTTAGATTCATATGATAGCAATATGTATGGAATTCATAAATTTCGAACCCAAAATTGGAACATAAGATCTAAGAAAAGTGTGTATACATTTATTATGACATGAGACAGAATATTTTAAAATCCAAACTGTACCAGAAAATTTGGAAGCTATGATTACCATATATGCAATAACACATGCAATTATTAATTTTCTCTTACTAGAATATACAAACCGTATTTCTTCTAGTAGGGGACCATGAGAAAAGTGGTACTTGTGTGATAGTTTAAAAATATCCCATCATATCTACCTTCAGAGGTTAAAAAATAATTGGGTCCCCTCCGTCCCCTTCTCCTAGATGAATGTGTGTAGCTGTGTTTGGGTGGGAATGGCTAATTTTTCAAAAACTGTACTAATCAGCGGGCAGTGGAAGGAAGGGATGATTAGTAAGATTGAGGTAGTCATTTTTATTTCTGCTTATGCTTTTTTTCTACAGTTAGGTAGCAGTTTTTTAGTGTCTATTAACCCATCAAGCAAAGTATACATTACCAGAGGCAATTTTACACATAAGTACAAAGCATGTTTTTCCCTGTGTTAGTATGTAGTGAATTATCTAAGAATGCAACTCCTGTGTAAAATAAGAGAAAATTTCTTCTGTTTAGCATTGTGCGTCATCAATACAAATTTAGGATGATTTAAGATGATTCCTGTATTACTGGAGTCGGTAACTGGCACATACTTACTGGTGCAAACATCGCTCTTTTCCATTCTGTTTCCTTGAATAGTCACCTGAGCATTTACATATTGAAATACATGACCCTTTATTAGTCATTGTTTCTATCCCTATTACAATTAGGATATTATAGTGATTATTTTAAATATATTAGTATAGATAGTTATATTTATTCTGAATTTTACTTCACGGTAGTATCAGAAGCATTACAAAATATTTACGGTAAAAATGAGGTACTGGATAGACAGGTCGAAAACCATGGTCTTAGATAAATGAGGTAATGGATAATGATCATGAGAATCCCTTTCAGACAAAAAGTAAAATCAGTACTGTTTTCATGAACAAGAGCAATTTAATCAATACGGATGGTTGACGCAGGAAAAGAAATATGATAGAATCCTCAGCTAGATAATAATCTTCATTCACATGAATTACAGAAAGCTCAATTACTGACACATTGAAGGGTCTGGAAGAAATCTGCTCCAATTTCGACTTTCTCTGTGGCCACAGAATAATGAACAAGGAGCCATGCTTATGAATAGGCAAAGGAGTTCTTTTCCAAGAGCAGAGTAGGTGTCTAATCAAGGAATTTACTAAAGGGTCTCTGAAATTAGGTCTCACAGGGTTTCATTATGACTGTGGACCAGGGGCTGCTGTGTCTCCTATTCTTTCCTTTTCTAAAAACCAGTATTTTATCACAGTTATCTTGTTCCACTAGTGTTTATGAATATGGGGTGGGAGTCGGAGCAGCTATCAAATTTATTAGCGTGTCTGTTGCCAAACCATTAGAAACTCCATCTAGAACTGACGTCACCTTATCCAGATATCTTGAACTGTGAGTTGAACGCAGCAGGTGATGCAACTTTGAAGTATTTTTCATAATAATGAATGAGTAATGGATAGGGAAAATATTGGACATGGGTCCTTGGGTAGGCAAAGATTTGAACGGTGGCTGAAATCTACTATCCATCACCCCATCCTCATTCTTTCCTTCTTCCTGCGGTAATGGAGGCAAGTAATATTCCCCTGCCTCATCCCCAAGGTTTAGCAGGACATAGAAATGACAATTCTCAGCTTCCCTTTTAGTTAGATATGGTCACATGACTAGCTTTCGACCAACTTCCAATGGTTTTGTTGTAGACAAGCCCACTTTCTCTAAACTTTCTTTCTTGCCGCTGAGATGACGTATGTGGCAGAACCCCAGCTTCGATTATGCAGACAGAGACGGTGCCTCAGCAACGATGAGATCTACCCATTTTTTATTGCTTCTCATTTCCTTCTCTTGTTGAAGAAAGTATTTCCTCTTTCAAAATTATATGCATTTTATTGCATTTTCTTCTTGACCTTTGAAAGTTTGTTTGTTTTGATTTAGACTTTTCTCCTCTGTTGCTTGCTGATAAAACACAACTGTACTGAGTGCTCCAGGTCACCAATGAGTTCTCCACCTGTCTGAGCCTAACTCGCTTTCCCTTTCAAATGTGAAATGGTAATAGTTTTACCCCATAGGGTTTTCTGAGAAGAGCAGACGAGTCAAAAATGCTGATCAGAATTCTAAAAAATATTACATATCATCACAATGGTGCATTTTTTAAAACAAAAAGATAGATTTCAATAAACTACCCTGAAATAATGCCAATAATATATTTCAAGAATTTAAACAGCCAAAACAATATAACTGCATTGTCACACAATGAAACCACAATCCTAGTTTTATAAAAATGCTGAATTCTCTCTGTGTGATCGCGTGCGCACGTGCACGTCTGAATAGGCACAATCGTCTGCAAGAGCAGGAATCACATCGTTCGTTGTAACTGCCTCACGGGGTGGGCAGAGTTTTGAGGGACACGGCTTTTAGAATAGTAGGATTGTGTGAGATTCTTGGTTTCCTTTTTATTGTTATTTTTCTTCTTTTAATTTAAATGCTTTTAAGATAAGCAGTTACAATTAAAGATAGAAATTTATAGATAGGAATCAAATCTATCTTCGAGTCCCCTTTACTGAATGGGACATGAAATTGTTAATTACATTTTAACAAATCAGAATATTTTTTTAAGAGGTCCGCCTCACAGGGTTTTCTGAGCTCTTGTATGATTTAAAGTACTAGAAGCTTCTTCCATGCAGTTGCTAGGTAACAGCCCTTTGTAAAGCAGTAAACGACAGTAGAAAGCGCATCAAACCCATCTAGTCCTGGGCTTTGAATTGCAGGAATCAAATACCCTTTGGAAAAGAGCTTTCAAACAGAAACGCAAACCAGGGTAAATTTTAAAAATGAAATGGTATTTGTTTTTATTTCACGAAGACAAAGTTTATTACGGATACCGACCAAACAATTTGTGTTATAAAATCTCGTTTGTTTATGAGATTCCATTTGTAAGCATGAGGGTAGATTTCTATAAAAACTGCTTCTTCTCCTTAGAGGAAAATAGATAATTTCTAACAATCGAGTTTTATTTTGATTCTGTTGCTTTAATCAATAAAATACCAATCGATGAATGTGTGTGTGTGCACGCATATCAATGCACACATGTCAGAGACTTTTGCCAGTTCTAGGATTGTGAGCCATTCATAGACTAAACGGCTATAAATAGGTTTAAGTAAACCTTTAAAAGTCATTTAGTTTCACAAGATCTAAATATAGGAATGCTTATTTAATATATAGAATTCAACCCACTTTGAGATTGGCAATATTCCATAAAACAGATTTATTTCACTTTGGTAAGACCGAGTATAAAAAGCATTTTTGTCTTTCTAAGTGCTTGAATCCTTATATTATTTT